TGCTTCTGAACACAGTTTTAGGTTCTGGAGCAGAGACACGGAAGTCACAATCTTCCACACAAAGAGTCTCAGCCCTGAGCCTTAGTGTCAGCATCTGCCATGGACCCACCTCAGTCAGTCAGGGAGGCTCCAGGGTCCTGATGGGAACAAGAGTAAAATGCTGGATTCCAAGGAATGCCCACTTCAGTAACTCCTGCCAATGCCATTGCTGTCAATGTTGACTCAGCTCTGTGCCACAGATGCATGGCTTCAGGCAAAGGATTTGGCCCCAGGATTCTCAGCAGGGCAGTACTGCCTCCTAGTGGGCAGCTGGGCAACTGACTCTTGAGCGGTTTGTGAAACTGTCAACAGGCTCTGGGGCAGAGCTAGCTTTGGGGAAATGGTGCCCATGTTAACTGCCCGTCGTGCTAGGAGTGACTGCCCTCCGTGGCACTGAATCCATTGAGTATGAAATACAAAATGTACTTTAAGGCTTGGAAAGGCTTGGACCCTAGGGGTGCATGCTGGCACACACCTGCAATCGCAGCTATGCCGTCAGGGGAGGAGCACCCTGTTGCGTGTTCTAGTATAGGACTTATTTGCATGTTAGCTGTGAGGACCTGTGTGTGTGCTGGTGCAAACACTGGCTGTACCACCTTACAGTGCAGCACGTATGCCCTGCCATGTCTTACTTCCTGCAACTCCAGTCCCCTCCCTAGCCACAGTTAACATCAGTCTGTGCATCTCCACTGCAACTTCCCTGTATGGAATGCTTTGAGCATCTATGCCCTCTCATAATTCATTTTATAAACTGATAATTTATTAAGCTAAGGCTTCACATACTGATTCTCGTGCCCCTCCCTCCCAAGTGCTGAGGATGAAACCTAGCGAGGGTCTAGAGCATGCTAGGCAATGCTGTCGCTGAGCTACACACATTTCATACCTACAATTCAGTGCTGGGTGTAGAAACTCCTGGGGCTAGTGCAAGAGCTCCAAGTGAGTGTGTGCTTGGCACTCAAGGCCCTGGACTGATGCCCTTTCAGTAATGTAGTGGTTTATGTTACCCTCACAAGGCTCTTGGGTTCCAATTCCAAACATGACTTTATCACAAAACAGTGAAGGATTGATATTTACAAAAAAAAAAAAAGTCTAGACATGCAAAGTACTCTATCAATTGAAGTCCAGCCTCATCCCCTTGGACTTTTTTTTTGTAAATACCAATTCTTTACTATTTTGTCATAAAGTCATTTTTGTACCCAGTTTAGGCCAATCTGGGATACATGACACTCTTTAAAAAAATTAGTAAACTGGGGTGGGGGAGTGAATCTTATAATGGATACCATTTACTTTGTTTCCCAAGTAGCTAGCACTAACACCACCCCCCTCCAAGGTCAGAGTCCTTTATGAGAAAAAGCACACACAGGATTTATGTCATCATTTCAGTTTCCTGCCCTTCTGGCTGTTGGCCATTTCTCCTGGAAACCCTGCAAGGGGTCCCCAGCACCAGCAAGGGAACTGCCGAGTGTGGAAGGCATGACAGCCTTTTCTATTGACTGCTAGAACCCTTGGGAGTCACACACGGGCTCTAGAAAAACCACCAGGGAAAGGTCCAGGAGCAAGCAAAGAGCTGAGCATCGTAGTGGTTCACACCTGTAACCCAGCAGTGATGTTCATACAGGACTGCCCAGGCCAGGCCAGCATGGGCTATCAGTGACAGGGGCTGATAAACACCTGCTGCTCCACCAGATCACAAATGCCTGTAATTCTAGTTCTAAGGAGTCAGGTGCCCCCTTCTGGCCTTGATGGGCACCTGCACTCATACATGGAAACACCCATTAAAGATATTTTAGAAAGGATGAAGTGTGCCCTGTCCCAAAGCCAAACTGCAGCCCTTTGAATTCCTGGTAGCTTCATTTGATAGCCAATTCCCCCCCCCCCCCACAAGTGATGGAACAGACAGGGGGGCTCAAGCTTGCTACCACTGGCTACATTTGCTAGGCCCCCCAAATCCATTTCAAAGAGCCAGCTAACTGTCCTTCATGTGTATTCCCCAACTGCCAATCTCTGCTACTTGGGAAGATCCTCTTAAAAACCTAACATTCTCTCAGGCAAAAAGTAATCTCTCCTGACCTTGAACTGATTCAAGGTCACCTTGTGCACCTCCTACGTAACCAGGATTCTGTTGCCCTGACAGCTAGCTTCACAAGAGCTGTTTTCAAAGTTACTCGTGTCCTTCTATGTGGCGTGCTAACTTCCACTGTGGAGGTCCACAGTTGGGTGCTGGTACTGTAAGATTTTATTTGCAGCTTGGTGGTGGTGGTGGTGCAGCTAATCTCAAGAGGCCAGCCTGGTCTACAAAGTGAGTTCTAGGACAGTCAGGGCTACACAGAGAAACCATCTCAAAAAAAAGGAAAAAAAAAAAAAAAACAAACAGTTTTTATTTGCAAGAGACTCAAGTTCAGGGCTGGCCTGGTTTCTCTTCATACAATTAAGTGTAAAAAATGAAAATCGGCTGGAAAGGGGTGGCACATGCCCGTAATCCCAGGACTTGGGAGGCAGAGACCTTTCAAAAAAACACCCCCAAATCCAAGATACTTGATCATATCCACAAAACTGTATAACCACCTGCATTTGAACAACATGCAGCACCCATGGGGAACACTGGATCCTCTGCAGCTGGAAACGTGGGTGCTAGGAAGGAACTACTCTTAAGCCTAAGCCATCTCTCCAGCCCTTATATTAACAACTAAAACTGTGATGTTACTTAAGAACACAGGCCCTTCTTTTCCTGACATGTGTTATTTCACAATAAATACTTGTCCAAACTACTAAGATGTAGTGGAATGGCTTTGTTTGTAACCAGGGCTGCCAAGGTTCAGGACTTCTCCCTCCTGACAGTTACCACCAGAGATCCATCCAATCTGCCAGGAAGCTGCTCCAAGTTTGCAGCCAGTGTTCACCTATTACAAATGACATCTTATGGAATGACTTATTTCTAGCCCATTTCAATCAGAAACGCCAGCTTAGTTAAGTGTTGCTTCCAACGCAGGCAACACTTCACGACATATTCACCTTCCTTTCCCAGGAAAGCCGGACAAAAAAAGCATAAACCATTACTGTCATTAGAGACCAGCTGTTGTCAAGGACGCCAGCACGACCCAAACCAAATGTTCTGGAGACTAGGGATGTCTCTGTATGCTCCATTCTACCCAACACTGGTCATCAAAACCCCACCCAACTCAGCTCCAGTTCCTGGACATTAAAAACATTTGCAGAAGTGTCTGCTTCCTCCCACATGTGTGCACCTTGTTCATGTCTGGTAAAGAGCAGGGAACCCGATCCCTTGAGATGGACAGCAAGGAGCTGTCGGTGCTAGAAATCAAGCTTCAGTCCAGTGTGAGAGCAGCCAATGCTTTTCCTTCAACTTCCTGAGCATGAATTGGTGTTTTGCTTGCACATATGTCTGTGAGGGAATCAGATCCCCTGGAACTGGCATTACTAGTTGTAAACTGCCATGTGGGTGCTAGGAATTGAACCTGGGTCCTCTCGGAACACAGCCACTGTTAATAACCACTAAGCCATCTCTCCAGCCCTCAATTCACTCTTGGGCCTGTGCTCTTCTTCCTCCCTCCCACCAGTGTTGAGGTTCTGAGGCCCCACAACTTGTTTGTACAGCGCTGTAGATGGAGCCAGGCTGTGTACACTAGGAAAGAAATCTTACCAACCCGTATTTCCACACAAAGAAATATGAAGTCTTAGTTTCCAAGTTGAAGGCCACATCAAAACAACCTTCTCCCAATCACATTCCTCTTGAGTTTCAGTCTTTTGGGGAGCCAATGAGAAGGCTTACTCAATGGGTGCATGGTTAAGTAGCACAGTACCTGTCTCTACCTGTGTGAATCCTGGGTTCAACACCCAGCCTTTTAGTAGAGGTATGGGCTTAGAAGCAGGATGGCTCAACCGCAATGGGCCTTTGCTGATATTAAGTGATAAACCTAAACACTACGTACTTAGAATCCAACCAAGGAAATACTGCACGTACAAAACCCAAGTAGATTATCACAGCATTGTTCAAGAGCCCCTTCTCAGGATCAAGGTCACAGTGTATCAGGTATGCAATAAACACTGTATAAGACAGGGCAAGTATTGGCATAATAATGTAAAATAAGATTCAATGTTACCGGATTGTTTAGATAAAAATATACTCCAACCCAGTTTTTTGTCAGTGTCTTTAATCATAAAAATCTTTTATGCCCCTTCCCCAAAGAAAAACCAGAAGGCAACAGTCTGGCAGTATAAAAATAGACAACTGGAAGAGATCCAACAACTAAATCCCACCTGAGATTCTGAAAAGCAAAGCATTTAGACAAGGCACTAAACCCGTGATTTGTAGAGAACTCTGATGTTTATTACCTGTAACTCTTCCATTAACAGTGCTGGGTCACTCTAGAAAACCTGGTACCTAAATGGTACACCAACATCACCTACATCACACTTAATGATGTACATCGGAGGTAACCCACAATGAAGTGAGAAACCCACAACTCCCAATTCTCACTAAGGACTAATAATAACTTCTAGTGACCACCTATAGCCATAACTTAGTAGTACACTGAGTGTGATCAAGATTGGCTAACGTGACCTATTACAGAACTTACAAGAGCATTTCCAAATAGCCACATTGTAAATGTCAGTTCAGTGATCTAATTAATGATCAATAACCAGTTAGGCTAATGCCAATGACTACTCATTCTACCATGAAGGACAAAGGTCCAATTTCCTAACATGTTAACAGAAGTCTGAATTTAGAAGTTTCTTCTCTGAACATGGACACTTCTTTCAAAGGCTCATATTGGAACTTTCTGGACACAATTCTCTCGTTTCTTACTACGATTTATTGTTGAAAGCTAACAGTTTTTTGTTTTTGTTTTTTTGAGGGAGGACTTAGAGATAAAAACAAAGTCAGTACAGTAAATCCAAAAACTATCTCAAAAGAGCATTTAAGAGAACTTAAGCCACAAGACTGTTGCATTATGATTTAATCTAATTGCACACACAAAAAAAAATCTGAAACCACAACTCCTCCAGATTTCTAAGAGAAAGGGTATGCATGCCTCCATATTCAACTGTGCATCGTTACATTAACCATATGGTGGATTTTACATCATGATGGATCAGTTTGGAATCCCATGCAAGACCTCAAGTTATAAAATGAAATCCACATTTTAAACTTTGTTGAATGTTTTCATGCTGAAGATCAAAGCCACTTTTTACGGGCAACTTAAAGAGTTACAACACACCACACTGGTGCTATTTTAAAATGTCAGTGTCATGATCCTGAACTGGCTCCAACTCCTAAAGAATGTCTAACTCTTAGGTAACAACCAAAGGGGGAAAAAATTTTATTCACTAATCCAGTGCCTGTCAGTTAAGTTTCTTACAAAGAAAGAACTGGGTAACCAAACTGCTTTCCCAGGGATAAGAACAATGTTAAGAGTGGGCTCAACTGACCACTACACAGTTACGCTAGTATTTTATTAATCCAAAAGCACTTTACAAGAAAATATAAGTATGGCTTCCAATAGGAATGTTATACTTGGACTTGAGACCAAGCTCACAGATCTGAGTGTGCAAGGAAAAACAGGCTTTCAAGTTAAACAACAATTTGTAACCAAAACTTTAATCCCAAGGATTCTCACAAACATATTACAAATGACAGCATGAAAAAGATATCTTGCACAGTAACTCAAAAGTTCAGCTCTACAATGTACCCTTAAACTGATAGGACACTGCTAACTTAAAGCCTTCCATTTCAAATAAAATGTTACAAACAGCTTTTTGTCCAATCGGTGAGGAACCTCTTTGCAAGCCTTCGGAGTGCAATTCCCACCCTTTACCTGCTGGCTTGTGTTCACAGCAGCTTCTAAAGACTGCTTATCATTCCCCCACAGCTCCACATGTATCCCAGCTACTAGAGAAACTACAGCTTTTTCCATTTCTGCCAGCTCTTTCTATATCATTAGCACATCACACTTTAACTGGGCAGGATCTAGGTTTATTTCAGTCTAAACTAATGTTCAAAGCAAATTCAATCTTGCTTAAGGGAACATTGTAAAGTAACACTTCTTGATATTACATGCCTCCTAGGATCCATTTGGAACCACCGAGAATTACATCGTTGTGTGTCACCGTTCCAAGAGACAAAACAAATTTGAACAGCTAAAACATCTTAAAAATGCACCAAGCTTATGAAGTCTCAAACAAACTTGAATTTCCTGTACATACTCCTGTCAAATGAAGTTCTTTCCTGTACATCACTTCTTTTGCAAACTGGTCTTCTACTTCCTTTCATTTGACCTAGATCGGCTAAAAAAATAGAAATGCAAAATTTTAAACATTAATATCTTGTTAGTTCATAGTACAAAAGATTATATATGCGTATCTTCAATAGCCATTAGTGAACTTACCTACGAGACCTAGAGAAGGATCGAGACGGCTTGTGATTTCTCTCGCGAGACAGAGACCTTTCTCTTCTCCTATCTCTAGAAAGTGACCTAAAGCCAACAGAAAGCACATTAGCCAATGATGTTAGACACTTGCCTTATAAAAGAAAGGTCGGCTCTTTCTAACTTAACATTGACTGTATAAGCTACCCAAAACACTGCTATTAGTTACCTAAATCTCATTAAACAAGTACTTTGGGAAATAACTCAGAGGTGTCAGAAGCTGCCACTTCTGAGAACGAACGGGGCACAACATTTACCTGCTCCGGCTTCGAGAGAAGCTTCTCCTTCTTGGAGATCTAAAAGCAGAAACAGCAAAATTAGGCTAATTGTCAATTAGTATATATGGCGTGAGGCATTTCCCAACTTTTCAATCTCACTGTTGGGCCCAGTGAATGTGCCGAAGAACTGGCACTCATCGTCCAAAAATAAAAAAAGAAAAGAAAAAAAAGGCATAGAAGGATTAAGGAACAAAAAGCAAGTGAAAGCAGGTATTCCAACCATGGATTTAACAAAGAATGCTTCACAGCAGATCTGTCCAATGCAAAACTTCATGTCAAACTAACTCACTACCCAAACACCACACCAAATGTAGTCCCACAAGTAGTTCCAAAAACAGTACCGTAAACCAGTATTTGGAACCCATGCAAACCTTTAAGTCCATAACAAGACTTAGGTACCAGGTGGATAGTGTCATTTTTGTGAAAACGCGGTAGGTGTAACATCGATGCCATTTAGTGCTACATTAGAACTGCATTTGTGACGTCACATTTAAGAGTGTGTTTAGGCTCATCAAAATTACCATAGCTTGGCCCACACTTCACCCCCAAAATTTTTAAATTTTGAAAACTGTTAGTAAAACCATTTAAAGGTGATAGGATTTAACAAATTTTTGCTAGGAAGAAAAGCTAAAATCTGTTAGAGATATTAAAATTTTAGTTTGGCATCTCACACATGCACATAAGTTCACTTGAAGGTCTAGTCACATTATGAGTTCCCTATCACCCTTAAAAGTTGTTTCAAGCAATATATTGTACGTTACCATTCAATTATGCACAGCCAGCCTTTGATCCAGAAAAAAGAATTACTTTAAGCCGCTTACTCCTTATTTTTAACCAGCAGTAAACTGTATAAGCAGGAAAAACTTACTAGTTTTGGGTTTCAACAAGCTAGAAATGGTGAGGTGAGGCTGCCGGACTGACGGCCAGGAAGAATTTGCTGAAAAGGTTTTGCCAGATGTTGCGTTGGATTTAGTTGGTTGGCGAAGGGGGTGTTGTGGATTTTTCCTGCTTTTTTGTTAGCCGAAGGCTGCTGCTGTAGTTGTTGTGAAGACATTTGGTAAATAAACAGCTGAGCTGATTGGCCAGGAATGTGTGGGCGGTCGAGGTGGCTGCTGCCGATTTGGTTAAGGTTGGAGAGAAGGCTGAGAGAAAACAGCATGCTCGGGAACCAAAGGGCGGTGCAACCTGACGACTGGCCAGCCTGGGTCATGTGAAACGACACCAGCCAAGCTGAATGGGGCGCGCTGGTCACATGACGCTGAAAGGGCTAGTTGACTGGCTAATGCAGACTCAGAGGGTGGTGAGAAGAGACATGATGGTGACTCTGTAACGGGGTTCATTTTTATTAATAGATGGACCAAAAAGCACAAAAAAAATGAAAAACAAGCCATCAGTACAACCATCTATTAGCTAACAAATACTCTTTATTATGATGGGCAACAGTGTGTTGTTTTTCAAAACAGCAAAAGGGGCAAGATTTTGCACTCCCATCTCCTAGGACCTCACTCACCTGTGAGAGGTAAATTCAGTCCTACAGAAACTATTTTGGAGGCTTGATTTGAGGAGATGAGGAGTTTGCATCCAGGCAATACTGCCTGGTCCAAGAATGATGCCATTTCAATCATTAAAAAAAAAAAAACTGAATTCTCTCCTATTGGGGATTCAAGAACGGATGACTGGGAATACTTTTTAGCCCCCTTTATTGGTTAGTGACTTAAGTTTGTTTCAGAAAGATTTCTACTTTACCAGTTGTAACATTAAAACAGCTGCCTGTTTTGATAAATATTACAATTGTGCTAGTAGAAAACACATTTGTGAAGAGCTAGTTGAATGTAATGTTGATCAATATGGAGTCAAGAAATGGAAAAAGGCCTAAATTGAAGTAAAGGGAAGACTTGGAAAAAGATGCAACTAGAAGATGAACTAGAAGACAGATCCAAGATAGAAGTTACTAACTACCAACATGAATATACACCTACAGACAAAAGCCAACACTCAGCACAACTCACATACCCCAAGCTACACCCAGCAATTGTTTCGTAGAAACCTCGATGTTCACATAAGTTAAAACCCACCAACAAACTTAGGCAGAAATACCTGCTCCTACTAGCTACTCCATTACACCACCACTGCCTCTCTAAAACGTGCTCTCTCAAGTACCTTCGCCGAGGTGGAGGACTCCTCCTCCGGTAATCATCTCGAGGGCGACGACCCCAGGAGGGAGGTGGGCCACGATTCCGACTTCTCTTTTCACCATTCGAAAGTTCCACTCTTACACGGCAGCCACATAGTGTTCTAAGGAGAGAAGGGTCACTAATCACAAAATTGCTCATAGCAGGCAGTGAGTGGTCCAGAGAGTCCATCTTGATCACTCCCCATTTCACCCAAACTACTTAAGTCAAATGGAACCTAATTTGACACTTTCATGAGTTCCCTGGCCCTATTTGGTCTAAGTTCTTAAATTTTCTAAAAAATAATTTACCAAATGGAATTTTTTAAAAGCAAGAAAACAATTTTATTACTTATGAATTAGTCTGGCTGGGTATGTAGGCATATATAGACATCTTTAATTCCAGCACCAGGGAGGTGGATCTCTGTGAGCCTAGATTACAAAATGAGACCTTGTCTTAAATTACAAATCTTTTAAAAATTATACTAAGCTATGGAACCCTGTTTCACAAAAAATAAGGGCCTGGTACCCAAGGAGGTCAGCAGACATCAGATACACAGAAACTGGAGTTACAAAGGGTTACGAACCATCACATGGCTACTGGAAACTGAGCCCAGGTCCTCTGCTCCTAATCACTGGAGCATCTCTATCTACAGTCCCTGAACCACTCTTGATTGAGCTCAGTTAATAACTGTTAGCTGTAAGGTAACAGTTTGTGTATTTCTACTGTGACTTGTTCCCTTGATTTTTCATTTTCCTATATAGTAGCCCTAAAGGCTTTAAGACAAGCTACAATTATTTTGGCTGCTTCATATTACCCCCTCTACTATTACAAACAACTGGCATACAAGAAATTCCACCTAATAACAGAAAAAAGCCAAATTCGGTTGATTATCTTTCCCTTCATTCGTCCAGAGCCATCACAATGAAGCCAGCATGACCTACCAAACTCTCACTGTACTTGTAGGAACAAATCATCTCTAACTTCAGGGCTACTGTGAGCCCCTTTTTCACAGAAGGCCCTGGGCCTATCAAGACAGAAAATTATCCTCGCCTTCACTTGCTATGTAAGCGAGGCGAGCTTTGAGCTCCTGTCTAACTGCCAAGTGCTGGGATTTCTTTTGGGTATAAGCCACATCTGGCTCAAAGCAGGAATGTTGGGCACAACTGTTTGGACAGCCAGCTAGCAGAGCTGCAATTACCAGCGTATAGCTGCATCTAAAACACAAAATAGCCACATGTCCTAGAATTTAAACACTAAAAACCAGGCTAACTGTCATTAACATTACCTTCCATCGAGCTCTCGGACAGCATCAGCGGCATCTCGGGGATCCTCAAATTCAACGAATGCAAAGCCAGGAGGGTTTCGAGCAACCCACACACTTCGGAGTGGTCCATAATAGCCAAAAGCTCGTTCTAATTCAGTCTTGTTCCCATTGTTTCCAAGATTACCTACATACACCTTACAATCTAATGGACAGGAATCACGATGCATTTCTGTAACAACAGAAAAATACCAATATTAATTTATCCAAGCAATGTAGTTAAAAACAAATCCTAGGTAATTTAAAAAGAGCCTCGAAGTATAGATTAGTGGTATTTTGTCTAGCATGTTTAAGCTTCTGGACTCAAGCCTAGCACACATAACCTCTACTTAAAAAAATAAAATAAAGGGGGGGGAGGGCTGGGGCAGCCTACATATAAAGCCCAGACCAATCCATGTGTGGCGACATGCTTTTAATCCCAGTACTCAAGCAGAGTGTAGTGTAGGTGGATCTAAGCTTGAGGTTAACCTGGTCTACACATGGAGGGTCAAGCCGGACAGAGCTACATAATAAATACATTCTAGTCCTAGGAAGGAAGGTGGATCTGAATCAGATATTAGCTTTTTTTTTTTAAGGCCACCTTGGAACTGAGAAAACACTGAAGGATCAATTAACACAATATGGACTGTGAATTAGGAACTAACTGTTAATTCTACAACTGTTAGTTTTTAAAGACAGGGTATCTATCTCTCTCAAGTAACACAGGCTGGCCTTGAACTCCTGTGCCAGACTCCATCAGCCCTGCATATAATATACAGAATGAATGAGGGAGGCGTGATTAACTTCAATAGAATGTGGGGTGACAGTGCTCACAGATGGAGCTAGGCATTCAAGATCAGCTTCCACTCTGACACAGGAAACCATCTTAAAACATTAAAAAAAAATGGTGTCTGTCTTTAGTCAGGCGAGCTGTGAGTTTGAGGCCAAGCCTCCTCTACAGAGTCCCAGGACAGCCAGGACTACAGAGAGAAACCTTGTCTCAAAAAATAAAACATAACGCACACATGTCAGATTTCAGTCTCCCCTCTAAAGCAAGGCAACCATCTTAGCCATTTTCCAGTGTTTCCTCTCGTCATCACACAATAGTTAACCAGGAAGAAATTACAGCAGAAAATAGAGAAGATGGACATACCTCATGACTCAACCACAGCCATTCCGTTAAGTTTAGATAAATAAACTACCACATTTGGACAAGAAAACTTACTAAGTTGAGCTACAGGACACTGGGAAAACTGCGAAATCATCTATCTGACCTTCACTGGGGTACATATATACTACCCCCAAACACAAAATAAACAGGGTTTCTCTGGGTAACAGCCCTTGCTGCCCTGGAACTGGCTTTGTAGACCATGCTAGCCTCCAACTCACAGAGATCCAACTGTCTCTGCTTCCCTGTGCTGGGATCAAAGATGTATGCCATCTATGTCCAGCACTAACATGTTTTTTATTTTTATTTTTTTTAAAAAAGAGCCGGGCGGTGGTGGCGCACGCCTTTAATCCCAGCACTCGGGAGGCAGAGCCAGGTGGATCTCTGTGAGTTCGAGGCCAGCCTGGTCTCCAAAGCGAGTTCCAGGAAAGGCGCAAAGCTACACAGAGAAACCCTGTCTCGAAAAACCAAAAAAAAAAAAAAACCAAAAAAAAAAAAAAGATTTATTTATTTATTTCTGCTTACAGTGTTCTGCCAGCATATATGCCTGCATGCCAGAAGAGGGCACTAGATCTCATTATAGATGGTTGTGAGCCACCATGTGGATGCTGGGAATTGAACTCAGGACCTCTGAAAGAGCAGCCAGTGCTCTTAACCTCTGAGCCATCTCTCCAGCCCTAAAATGTTTTTTAAAAGGCTTCCTTTACATGGGACTTGTAATCCTAGTCTTAAAAGGTAGTCATTAAGATCACCAGTTTTGAGGTTAGGCCCCTAGGGCTACAGCTGAAGATCCGGTCACAACCAAAAGCTTCCAAGATACATTGCCACAAAACTTCCTTTACTACCAGAACAATACTAGTATCACCTCAAAAGATGCTGGCCTGGAACTCAGAGATCTGCCTGTCTGCCTCCCCAGTGCTGGGATTAAAGACGTATACCACCACGCTTGACTTTTAAATTTTTTAAAGGGCTGGCCTTGAACTCAAGAGGATTTAAAGGTGTGTACCACCACACCTGGCTGCATGTGGTTCCCACCGCGCCCCCAAACATTCAAAAGTCTGGACATAGTTCAGTGGTAGGGAGCTTGCCTAGAATGCACCTAAAACTTAATCCCTAGCACTACACACACACACACACAGCCTATACAGCTCACTGCTGCACTAGTCACAATTGTGAAAGTTGTGCCAATCTAAAGTTACCCCAAATAGACATGCAAAATATAATACAGCAGTCAGAAATACTGACAAATACAACAAGTGTAAAAATCTTGAAAATAGCCGGGCGGTGGTGGCGCACGCCTTTAATCCCAGCACTCGGGAGGCAGAGCCAGGCGGATCTCTGTGAGTTCGAGGCCAGCCTGGGCTACCAAGTGAGTTCCAGGAAAGGCGCAAAGCTACACAGAGAAACCCTGTCTCGAAAAACCAAAAAAAAAAAAAAAAAAAAATCTTGAAAATATTCTAAAACCGGAAAAGGACTTTACAATTCTCAGGATATGAAACACCCCAAGTGGACAATCCAGATTAGTGAGTGACTGCCAGGAAGCTAGTTGTTGGAACTGAAAAATAATATTTTATAGTTTAAGTGCATCAAGACATTTAAGTGTCGAAAGACAAGTGTAGTTTGAGCTCATGCATGTCCAACAATAAGGCTGAAGAAAATCCCAAGGAGAGACTGGGAGAATTCCAGGACAGTCGGGGCCACATAAAAAAGAAAACCAGGAGCTGAAGCATACAGAGCCTGGGCTGCATGAGACCCTGTCTCAAAAAAAAAAAAAAAAAAAAAAAAGCAAAATTATCGGGGCGGTGGTGGCGCACGCCATTAATCCTAGCACTCAGGAGGCAGAGGCAAAGGGTATGAGTTCCAGGCCAGTCTGGTCCAAAGAGTGAGTTCCAGGACAGCCAGGGGTACAGAGCATTGTCTCAGGGAAAAATAAAACATACAAGCAAAACATCTTGGAACCAGACAAAGATACCACAACGTCGTGAATGTTTTAAAAACTACCACAGCCAGGCACGCATACCTGTGACTCACTAGGCCAGAGGAATGAGTTATGAGGTCAGACTGGTAAAGAGACCCATCTTTATAGAAAAAGAGAAGCCACGTTCAAAAATAAATCTTGAGGTCTGCGAGGATAACATACCTGCTGGGTGCTTGCTTATTAGCACACACAATGCCCCAAGTTCAATCCCCAGCATACCCCCCAAATTTTGTCTTAAAAAAAAAAAGACACTGATTATACAAGAATGTACAGCAAACCTTAGGACACACTTTCAGTAAGCCTTCAATTTCACTTCCGAAATTAATTCATTTCCAATGTCTCTCCTATAAAGCCGACGATTATCGAACTAAAAATTCCAGTCCAGGCACATCCTATTTTGTCGTGACCCCACCCTGCGCCCAAGACTCAGTTGAGAGGCCAAGCCATTCTGCGAAAATTAAGAAAGGTTTTCACACCTGTTAACAGCCAAAGCGGGTCAAAGAACAAAAGCCAACTCAACTTGAACCGGGGCTTACATTAGGGAAGAAATAAAATCTAATTACATCCAAGTTTTAAAGCAAAAACTAAATCATCCGTAAGTAAATGAGACTGTAGAGGGCTTCAGTACCTAAAGGCCTGGTCTTGATTCGTGACTTAGAAAATTAAAAAAAAAAAAATCTTAGACCCTATCCCAAGAAAACCAGGAGCAAAAAAGGCGCCATCAGGTTCAAGGCCGCGACATGCGGAATGTGGCCAGAGAGCCCTCGCCTCCGGACCCCAGTCCGGAGTAACCGCTCTCCTCGGCTCCCCGCAATGGAAGTAAGAAAACTGCGGGATTCAAAGGCCTGGAAGCATCTCCGACCCGGCCGGGTGTCCCCGCCGCCGCCGCCGCCGCCGCCGCCGCCCGGGACCGAACGTCACAAAATGGCGGCGGCGCCCCTTTGTCTCAACCTGGCGCCGCCATTGCGCCCGGCCCCACCTCGACTCTGTGAAACTCCACTTCCCCTCCCTCCGGCCGCCGGCCTCTTACCGAGATCCTGGGTTCAAACAGCCGAAGCTCAAATCCCAACACTCCGACAGGCCCACCCGCGCCCTTCGGGATCTGCTTCCGCAGATGCGCTCCGTCCCCTGGCGTCCACGAAATGGCGGACCACCGCCTTCCCCTCGACCCTATTTATAGCTCCCGTTTGTGACACGTGACCGGGCCCCCTCGCCCAATCAGAGGCGGCGGAGGCCGTGACGTAAGGCGGCGAGAAACCGCGGTTACTGGGAGCGCGCGCCGGCCGTTCCGTCAGGTGGGCGGGGACGTGCGGTGGCGCGGGCTCGTCGCCGCCGCGTGCCCGCCCGCCGGTCCCGGAGGTGCGGCGCTCGGCCTCGGCCATCCCTCCCCACCCCCCCAACTCTACCCCAGACCCTTTCTTCCTCACTTCCGCCTAGGCCGCGGCTGGATTAAAAACAGCCTGGACCGCGCCGCCATTATTCCCAAGCGACGGCGTTTGCAGCTTGCAGGCTCGCGGGTCAGAGTCAAGTGTGCATGCTCGGCCCCTCCTTGTTGATGCATTGACTAGGGAGCCTTGAGAGTCGTTCTCAAGGTCACCGAGCGGTGGGCGACCTAACTGGTACCCCACGGTGGCCGCTCCCGGCCCCTGCACAGGCACCAGTCTGCAAAGTTTGCTCAAGTCTTGTTTTCCCGCCTCGCCCAAACCGCGCGCGGCAAATGAGACTTGGTGAGGCCGTCTGGAAGGAGGGGGGCGGGGAGAGAAACGGTCACCAGGATCACTTTCACACGTGCAAAGGAAAGATGATGGTACGGGGTGACTGTAAGCTCTGAGCACGCTGCTCCCGCCATGCTGAGGCCAGCAGGGGCACCTGCAGCCTTTGTAACAGCTTTGTTTGCTCTGGCGGGCGGGCCCCCTGCATCTCCCTGGGTCTCTGCACACAGCCCCAAGAATAGCGACTGAATTACGATCAATCGCCTTCCTTGACCAGCCACAGAGTGTCTCCAGTCCCCAAACGGATCCTCGGCCTAGCTCCGCTCAGGAATAGTCTGGTTTATTGCAGAAATTTATTCTGTTATTTCTGCTTCCCCGAAAAATAAAAATATTAACCAGTTTTCCAGACACGTAGCTCTCCTCCTCAGTTCCCCCAGTTTTCCAGACACATAGCTCTCCTCCTCAGTTTCCCCCACTGGTAAAGAGATGGAGTCAGCCGGGCGGTGGTGGCGCACGCCTTTAGTCCCAGCACTCGGGAGGCAGAGGCAGGCGGATCTCTGTGAGTTCGAGGCCAGCCTGGGCTACCAAGTGAGTTCCAGGAAAGGCGCAAAGCTACACAGAGAAACCCTGTCTCGAAAAACCAAAAAAAAAAAAAAAAAAAAAGAGATGGAGTCATATACACAAGGAAGGCGGTGCGGTGCCGTGCCGTGCGGGATACAAGTCGTTAAAACTGTTTGTGTTGTGACCTTTAGCTGTAGAGCTACAAGAGGGATTCTAGCGGAACTTTTTATCTGATTTCCTTCTAGATTTTTTTTCTTCTTCATGAGTTAGACGTACCGAACTGGGGCTGATTTGTCGCCTTTCTGTTTTCTTCCCCCCTCCCCCATGCCTGTAATCTTAGGACTTGGGCCCAAGGAAGCAGGAGTTCAAGGTTATTTTCATACATTTAGTGAGTTCTAAGCGAGAACGAGCTTCTCGAGATTCTGTCTGAAAAGAATAAAAACCTGATGTAACTCCATGGCTTGTAGTATGGCCACCTCTAATGCAGCCCCAGCTCCCAACAGACTAGCTTTTGTTGTTGTTGTTGTTTTTAACCATCTGCGACATCTCCCTGGTCCAAATATTGGTGGTGGTGGTGTTTGGGCGGGGTGTTTTTGTTTTTGTTTTTTGGTATTTTGAGAAAGAGTTTTCCCCGTGCTATCCTGGAACTCACTGTGTGGATCAGTCTGGCCTCAAACCTGGAGATTCACCTGCCTCTCAAGTGCTGGCATTAAAGGTGTGCACCACCATGCCCAGCAAGCACGTATTGTCCTCTTCGTGTCTGAGACAGGTCTCTCTCTGAAGCGCACCCTGGCCTAACACTCCCTCTATCCAAGGTGTCAGATGGGTTGAAACTGTCCCATGACTTCGTTTACAAATGTGTTGGATTGCGTTCATAGCTCTCCTAGACCCATGCAGACTTTGGAATGCAGGTTTAACACTCCTGACTACAGTCCAGGATCAAGTTCAAGGCAAAACTGTGCTTCCTCAGCTTCCCCGCAGGGATTCCGGGCAGGAGCCAGCTCAGCTCCACCTTGACCCTATCTCATCCACTCCTAAAAAAAAGCCAGTGCTGGGGATGTCATTCAGTACCAGGGGCTTGACTCTAGCATGTGCAGGGTGCTGGATTCTATTTCCAGCATTGCCAAAAGTAAGATAAGCCCCAAGAATGATGGCCAGGTGCTAATTATTATACACAGATTTAATTTAATTTTTTTTTTCAAGACAGGGTTTCTCTGTGTAGCCCTGGCTGTCATGGAACTTGCCCTGTAGACCAGAATGGCCTCCAACTCAGGGATTCACCTGCCTTTTCCTCCCAAACTCGGAGATTAAAGTCACGTGCCACCATGACCAACAAGATTTAAGTTTTGTTTTGTTTGTTTTTTCGAGACAGATTCTCCTTGTAGCTTTGCAGCCTGTCCTGGGACTCGCTCTGTAGACCAGGCTGGCCTCGAACTCACAGAGATCAGCCTGGCTCTGTCTCCCATGTGCTAGGATTAAAGGCGTGTGCCACCACCGCCCGGCTAATATTTAATATTTTAAAATTGTGATTGACTTCAAGTTTCAGTAAAGCAAAACCTAATAGTTCACTTTATGAACCATACTACTGCTTCCTTGGCTACTTGATTCAATCAGAGTATCTACCCTAAGGGTTAGCTCTAGAAGGGATTATTTACAAAAGTGTAGGGCTGAGTTAAGGGAACTAAGGACCAGCAGGGCACTCCCAGAGACAGCTATGGGCCCTCTGGCACAAAGACGGCAGCAGGGCTACCCAGACAAACCAGAAGAGGAACTAACTGGCAGCCTGGGTTTCTGAGTAGAGGAACCAGACCGCATTCTCTCTGCAGTGCTCACACCCAAGCAAGGCCCAGGGCTCTCCCCATGAACTCCGTGCCCAGCTCTTCCCAGTCCCATCTCTCCATGGTGGCTTCTTCTCACTACACCATAGAAGCCTGAGGGCATGAGAGCTGGGTGATGCAATCAAGCCTAAAGTCAGCCTCCCAGGACAAAAAACACAGCGGAGCAGACTGGGGAATTGACCCAGGGCTGTACTGCCTTATGCAATAGCCATTAAGGACCTGTAGCTGATAGCTGTTTGTCTCCATTGAGATGTGCTGTAAATGGAAAGAGAAGAAGGGAGAGAGAGAGAGAGAGAAAGAGAGAGAGAGAGAGAGAGAGAGAGAGAGAGAGAGAGAGAGAGAGAGAGGAAGAGAGAGAGAAAGGGAGAGAAAATTGGATTTTTGAAGGCAGGAAGAATAAAAAAAGAATGCAAGATGTCTTAATAATTATATTGACTCCTCATTTGAGTAAAAGGGTTTCAGGGAGGATGTTTTGTTTTTACTGTTATGGTTTGGGGGGTTTCAATTTAATTTTACTTATTTATTTTTTTCCCCCTGAACAGGGTTTCACTATGTAGCTCAGGCTGTCTTAGAATTCACTGTGTAGACAAGGCTGACCTCAAAGGCACAGAGATCCACCTGCCTCTGCCTCCGAGTACTGGGATCAAAAGGTGTGTGCCACTATGCCTGGGTTTGGTTTGGTTTTTATTTCTTGTTTTTGGAAATAGCCTGTCTGGGCTATGTGACACCCAGCTTCTGGGTCTTTCTTTGTCCTCTCCACGAGTTCTCCACGGAGTGGGTTCACAGAGCAGGAGAGCCTATGCCAAAGACATGGATTCACCCCTCCCTAGCTTCCAAGGTATCTTGACATCCTCCTGAGGATCTTTCCACACCAGCGGTACTAGGTAGCGGGCAGCCCAGCGACAGAGGCCCTCTGTCACTCCACATGGACAGCAGAAGCCTGAACAACAGCTCCCAGCCAGCCACCAGCTTGCAATTTCCTGCATTTGTTGGGACTGGTTTGTTGTTTTAATGAATTTGCTTTTTGTGTGTGGATGTTTTGTTTATATGTCTGTGCAACACACATGTGCTTGACGCCTGTTGAAGCCAGAAGAAGGTACTGGAGCTCCTGGAAGTTACAGATGGCTGTGAGCTGCCTTCTGGGTGCTGGGAATTGAACTTGGAGCCTCTGGAAGAGCAGCCAGTGCTCTTAACCACTGAGCCATCTCTCCAGCACCTGATCTTTTTTTTTTCTTCCATATCTTTGCGGGAGGATTCAGATGAGGTCCTGCTACACAGCCAGGCTGGCTAGAACTTGAAACAACCCTCTTGCCTCAGCCCACAAAGGCCAAGGTTACAGACGTGAACCACCACACACAGCTCAGTGTTTTTCTTTTTTTTTTTCAGCATTGAAGTTTTTATTCATGTGAATCATTAAAAATGGCCATCTATACCAGTGTCAAACGAGGGTGGGAGAGGAAGGCAGGGTAGAGGAGGAGAAGGAATAACCGTCTATTGGTAATAAAGGTCCAGGTTCATCCCATCATGGGTTTCATAATCTCCCAGAGACACGTGGTCCTTAAAAATCGTGTACCACTTTTTAAGAACGGCCTTATTCCAACGGGTGCCAGTTCGGCCGCTAGCTACCAGTTTCTTCAAGTCCCCGATGGTGTCATCGGTGTTGCACTTGACGGGACTTTCTTTCCGAGACAGTCGTTGCAAACCACCTCAGTCATTGTGGCTGGAGCTCTAATCCCCTCGAACTTACCGACGACCACACAACTTCTAGCTCGAGCGCGAGCCCTGGACCGATTTAAGGCTAGAAACAGGAAGTGGAAGTGATATAACGGAAGCACCCGCCCTTAGGTGCTTCCAGGTTCCGGGCTAGCCAGTCTTTGTCGTTTGTATTTTTTAAATTACTTTTTAATTTCCAATCTTTATTTTATGTGCATAGGTGTTTTGCCTACATTTACGGGTGTGCACCACGTGTGGGCCTGGTGCCTGCTGAGGCCAGGAGTCGTCAGGTCCCCTGGAACTGGAGTTACAGGAAGCTGTGAACCACCACCTGG